AGCGGCCATTCTCCACTGGCAAAAGGAGGCAAGGACCTTCAGAGACGGGACTTTTTACTAAGAAGGACATAAAGTCAGGGTCACTGGCCATGGACCAGACCAGGCAGTCTGTGTGGGGTGGAAGCTGGGAGCTGCACCTCGGAGGGAACAAGGTGTTCTCTGCAGGACATGAAGGGTCCCCTGGAGACCTGGGTGGTGGCTGACGCCTGGGTTGGGGACCTAAGGGACGTATGTCAGCACTGTGCCTTCAGTCCTGGATCCAGAGTGCTCCGGTGCTGATGGCAACCTGGGACAACATGGTGCCCCAGCGCCTCCAGCTCACAGGCTCAGCCTCCCCGTTTGGGACAGGATGGGACTTTTGGAGGGCTGTCCCATGTCAGCACAGTGCTTCATCCCCTGGGGGAATGTGTGCCCCTGCTGAGCTCGTTCATTCTGTGCTGAGGGCCAGTGTTCCCAGCCTTCAACCCCGGTCAGGCTGGGCAAAGTAGCTGGGGGCATAGGTGCCCCCACTGCTGGGCCGGCCTCAGGGACAAGGATCACAGAATGTACTCAGCGGCAAGCCCAAAAGTTGGCAGTTCAAACCCACCCAATGGCTCTTTTGGGACACAGACCTGGCGAACTGCTCCTGTCATGATTAAAATAAAACAAAACCCAAACTCGCAACCACGGAGTCCGTTCTGTCTGGCAGCAACCCAATGGGACCGAGTAGAACTGCCCCTGTGGATTCCCGAGATGCTAACTCTTTACTGGAGTCGAAGGCCTCGTCTTTCTCCCATGGAGTGGTTCAAGGTAGAATTACTGACCTTGAGGTTAGCAGTCCACCCTGTAACCAACTCTGTCACCAGGGCTCCCGCCCATAGTGGTTACGGCCTAAGAAACCCCTATGGGGCCATTCTCCTCTGTCACATGGGGTCGCTGGGGGCCGGGAGTGGACTCCTCCCCACCCAACAACATCCATAATGCCCTGCCATCAGCCTGTGGCCACCTGGATGAGCCCTGTCCTTTCAAAGCCTGCCCAGAGTCCACCCTGAACCCCGAGTGCATGGAGTGAAAGCCCCAAGTGAACGGTGCACCAGGGCCACTCCAGGAAGATGGTAAGCATTGAATTCCGTGCCCTCCTGCCCTGCCTCCACCCTAAACAATTGTTGGCATCCGAACTTCTCTCTACCTGTAACTGGAAACTCGTTTGGAGGTGGGATTTTCTTGGTGATATCAATGAGGCTATTTCAGTGTAGTGTCTTAAACGCACACACTTTTGAGCTATCAAGAGAGCAGCTGAGGCCCAGCAACAAGGCCGTGGAGATGGGGGAGCGAGGGTGCCCCTTGGAGATGCATCACGAAGGAAGCTCAGGGCTAGAGAGACAGACGAAAAGGCAGTTTTCCCCTAAGGCCAGTGTTCCGGCCCTCCACGGTGAGACACTAAGTGTCTGGGTGTTCTAGGCACCCTTTGATAACTGCATTGAGAAATAAGATGAGGGCAGGGTTCCCTCCTGTCTCTCCTCCGCTTCCCTCTCTCCCCTTCACTCTCTCCCCTTCCCTTCCGTGCCCTTCCCTGCCCTTCCCTTCCCCAGGCCTTCTCTGCTCCCCATGTCTTCCTCTGCTGAGCGTGAGAACCTGGCTCAGAGTACGCGTTTGCCAAAAATAGACTTGCTTTTTGCAGGCATGAAGGAAGAGGGTGGAAATTCCAGAAGGAGGCAAGTTCTTTAAAAAGCGAGCAAATGGTTCCTTAGCTGTCCACAGAAGCCCTGGGCCTGCAGGAGCATTCGCCATGGTCTCAACCTTCAGACAGGGCCCAGGGCCTCCAGCCAGGACCCAGCTGTCAGCAGAAGGCCAGCCAGGGTTCTGAGGGCTTTCCCGGGCAGGATCCTCAACACGCAGGGTCTGGACTTTGCTTTTCCGGCTGACAGCAAGCCGTCATGAGACCGTGCTCCCGCCGAAGGGCCATTCTTGTTTTTAGCTTGCACAGGAAAGAGGTGCCACGAGTGGGAATTTGTCAGGGTGCCAAACCCAGGGCTGACTCTTCCGAGGGTGGCCTCTGTGGGCGGGTGGGGGCCAGAGGGTCAGGCAAGGTGTGACCCCTTACAGTAGGGGCTCTGTCAGGGATGGACATGGAGCATGGCTTTCTGCGAGTCAGAGCCCTACCGCACACAGGGGTGACCGTCGTCTAGGGTGATATTCTTGCAGCTTAATTTTTGTCTCTTTGTATATCTGCTGGTGTTTCTTTAAAGACAGTAGAGGCCATTTAGTAATTCGTCTGCCCTGCCATTCATTTATTCCTCAAACTAACCTGTCCTGGACATTCTGTCTCCTCGCCCTCCTTCGAGAGACACCCAGGTGAGATTCTTGGCCATGGTCCCCATGTGCAGCCGCTGAATGTCTGCCGGTGGAGGTCTGTATATGGCCCTACTGGTGAGCGGGTTTCAGTGGGGCTGCTGGACCAGGGTGGAGTAGGAAGAAAGGCCTGGCAGCCCCCTTCCGAAAGCCAGCCGGTGAAGACTCTGTGGATCACAGAGTTCCAATCTGCAGCTGATCATGGATAGGGTACAGGACTGGGCAAGGGCTCCCTCCACTGCGCATGGGTGGGCCATTGGTTGGCTGAGCAGACGGTAGCTAACAAGCCCCTGCGCCCCAGCCAGGCACTGTGGAGGGACAGGACTCACGTCCACGGCAAGACCTGCTCTCAAGTTGCCCTCAGCTGAGCGGTTCATTGACGCCTCTGTATTTTTAGATGGGGGGCTGGGGGTAGGGGGTAGATTCGGGGCACTTTTGCCTGCCCAGCTTCTGGAAGAGATCACAGGACAAAAGGGAATGAAAGCTTGCTGCTCTGTTTCCTCTCTTCTCTCCCTCGAGGTGAAAGTGGTAGGCTGCTGACCAAAAGGCAAAGTGGTTCAAACCCACCAGCCACTCCACGGAAGAAAGATGGACGAGGCAGCCTGCTTCCATATGGACAGCCTTGGGAGCCCTATGGGGCCAGTCTACTCCGTGACTGTGGCCACCGCATCATGGGTGTTTAACCATCCTCTCCGGCATACTGAATAGAAAGCAAACACACAAGCCGCGGCTGCTGGCCAGCTCTTGAGCACGCTGGGCAGTGTTTGAGTTCCACAAGGAGGTGATGCCCGCCATCCCTTCTGCCCTACATGCAGCCCCCGAACCAGCTTCAGGCAGAAGAGCCCAGAGGAACGGGTGTCATGGGGTCCTCCTTTGGGAGAGCTGGAGGACCTCCGAGGGGCACCGCTTGCAGGTGAAAGGGGAGCCTGTCCCTGTAGAATAAGGTGACTAGACGTCCCACTTTTGGCGGGACAGTCCCGATTTTTAACAATTTTTCCCACATCCCGCGTCATTTTTAAAAAGTCCCGATTTTTGGAAATAATGCACGAAAAGCTAGGGTATATGGTTTTCGGCTGCCATGTGGCTATTTTGCCAGTATATGAGTTTTATCAATGGCGTCCCGCATTACCAATGTTAAAATGTGGTCACCTTACTGTAGGAGTAAGATGGGGGAGGGTCTGCACTGGGAGCGGAGGAGGAGGAGGAGGCCGGGGGAGCACTGGGAGCCTGAGGAGGCTCTGAGCTAAGAGGCCTGAGTGCTGGGCCTCCTGCTCCCTGACTCTGGACTCCCTGCTGTGAGCTCAGAGAGCAGTCCACTGCTGGCTGGACTTGGTGGTCAGTGCTTGTTGACAGAATGGACTCCATGTCTGCCTCTTACCTTTGACCCTTTAAAGCGGTCAGTCTCGGGCAGTGGGGAGAAGACCAGCTGATCCTCTCCTGAGGCCTTCCGGAGAGACCCGGAATGCTGGAGCAGTGGGGGGGGCAGGGGGGGAATGGGAGGTAGGGGGGTGATCATGCATGGGAACTTGTCCAGTTCCCTTTTAGAGGCACTTTGCCTCCAATGTGTTACAGAGACATGTTACCAAACCAGTGTTGCCATATGTGCAGTGCGATTTCATCTCACAGAGACTCAGCCTGCCTTGGCTCGGCCATCCCGAAACAGACTGCAGGGAACACAGGCATCACAGGGGGAAAAGTCAAGGCCTCAGCCCCGGGGCCTTTCCACTGTAGCACTCCCAAAGCTTGAGGGCCAGCCAGCGGAGCACTTAGCTGACTGTGGACACAGCCCCGGGGCGGGTGTTCCCTGCTCGCCACTGGGTGGTGAAGCAAGCCGGCCAGTGTCTACACCCACTCCCAGGCCTCCCTGGAGTATGGGCTTCCTACCTGGTGGGCCCCGTGCTCCTGAAGGACACCCCCAAGAAGCTGCTTGGGTGGTGCTCTGCTGCCCAGATCCTTGGGGCCTTGGAAACATAACACTGGCTCAGACACCCTCCCTCAGCCCACTCTCAGGGTCTGGTGCAGCGTATGTAAGGGTGGGAAATGCAAAAAAAAGACCAGCTAGGGAAGGCTCCTTGGTGGTAGGGCAGGTTAAGTGCTGGGTTGATGGTTTAGACCCACCAGCCTCTCCTCGGGAGAAAGATGAGGCTGTCTGCTCGGGTAAAGATGGGCAGTCTCAGAAACCCCAAGGAACACTTCTACGCTGTCCTAGTGGGTCGCCATGATGTTGTCAGGTGCCCTTGAGTCGGTTCTGACCCATAGCAACTCTAGGCTTAACAGAACACCGCCAGGTCCTGCACCATCCTCACAACTGTTCCTGTGCTTGAGCCCAGCATGGCTGCCACTGTGTCCCTCCAGCTCCTCGGGACCCTTGCGTCTAGGAATTGACTTGATGGCAGTGGGTTTGGTCTGGCTTGTGGTTGCAGGGATGATGGGGCAGGCCCCGTTTCACCTAGAGGTGCCTTGGAAGAAAGGACTGGCAACGTTCTTCTGAAAGATCGCCATCCCACCGCTGTTCTGATTGCCATACGCGTGGGGTTGCTGTGAGCGGACCCCGCTCCATGGCGATTGGTTTGGTGTCTGGGGGCCATGGCTGAGTGATTCATTTGGTACCTGCCTCCCGCACCCTAGCTGTGCACCCCAGATTGCCTTTAGAAAACATGTCACCTTGCTGGGGAGGTGAGCAGCGGTGCCCGCAGCCATCTCATGGAATCCAACACATGGCGACCCTGCAGGACAGCGTAGAACTGCCCCTTGGGGTTTCCAAGGCTGTCAATCATAATGGAAGTAGCCTGTCCATCTTTCTTTGCTAGCCCCAAAGGGAAATTAGCGTGAACAGAGGGAGTTCCCTGCTTCAGGGATGGTGGCTTGGCCTGGGGTCCCTTGCCATGTCCCTGACACCCTGGGAGTGTTTATGCTGAAACTGAGGTTGCATTTCCTGCCCCAGCCTCCTGCCTTCAAACATCCGGTGTTTCCAAGTGGGGGGTGGGGGGTGGATACTTGTGCATTTCCTTTTCTTGGACCCCACCAGCAAGCGGCTCTGGGCCCCTCCCCTGGTGGCTCTTCAGCCCCCTTCTGGCCTCCCCCCTCCCCTCTTCCTCCACCTGGGGAGCCTGAGGGGTCCAGCTGGAGCCAAGGGGGTGTGGTTGCTCTGGGGGGCTTCTCAGACACTGCATCAGCCCCCTCTGGCCTGCCCGTCCCCACTTTGCTTTTGGGCCATGCTGGGGAAACTCCCCATGGAAATGGTCAGGGCTCGGGTGTGGGGCTCGGCCAGCCCAGCTGGGGAAGGGCAGAGGAAAGACTTTCCTTTGGGGGGCGGGGAGCGGGGGGAGCCCTGCTGTTTGGGGCAGTTGTACACTGGCCAGATGCAGTTCAGTCCTCAGGAGGCGGGACTGGCCCCCTCCCCATGGGGGGTCATCTTGCTGGTCAGGCAGTCACCCTCAGGTGCCCTTGAGCTGAGTCCTGTCTTCCCCATGCTCCTCTGTCCTCGGAAGGCTGAGTTTGAGTTCCTGTGTGAATGCCTCCAACCCAGCCTGAGACCCTGCAGGTGCCAGGGGCTGAATGGGGAGTTGGATGGAGGAGGTGGATGGATAGGTGGATGGGGATGAATGGGGGAGGTGGATGAAGGAAATAGATGTGAGGGTGGATGAAGAGGTAGGTGGGGTGTAGACGGGGAGGGTGGGTGGGGTGGTACAGTTTCTTTGCTGTTCCTCTTTCTCCCTTCCCATCCCCTACTGCCCTGCCTGTTAGATTCCCCGGTAAGAAAAACCTCGATCCTTGGCTTTGCACAAGAAAGAATTCATGCCAAAGCCTAGTTTGTGATCCAAGTGGGTTTTTATAAAGGATAGAGGTTTCAGGCATTACAGTAAACTGAACACAGGCACCCGCAGGGCACTGCACAACACGTGGTGCCCCTGAGGCCAGAGAGAGAGACCGAGGGAGACCCCAAGGCCCAACAGCATGGAACACGGAAGAGCAGCAGAAAAAGAGGGCAGTGGTCTCGAAGTTCCAGCCTTTTGGGGCCTTCTCCTGGGAGGTGTGGTCGACTGTACTGGTTGACCCTGTTGGCTGAATTAAGCCCACCTGGCCTAGATTGGGGCCCACCTAGGTGTACCGCCCCTACCCCCACCCCCTGGCTCAGGGCCTGAATCTGGAACATGCTCAGTAGACACACCTGGTCCCTGCTCTAGCTACCTAACACGCCTGGGCCCACTTGGCTCTCAGCGACAGCCACCTGCAGTAGATGTCCCAGTGCAACAGGGTGGCAGTAACCATACCTTCGTCCTTTGTGCCAAGTCTCTGGGCTCGCTGTGGTGGCAAGAAAGCTAGACTCCGGCGGGGGGTGGGGTGTGGGGTGTGTGTGTGTGTGTGTCTGGAAACCCTGAAAGCAGACCCTCTGCCCTCCTCAGTTGGGGATGGTTGACAGGACTCTAGGGACTTCCACAGCACAGTCCCTCCCACCTCCTGGGCACGGACTCCCACCTGCTCTCCCACTGCCCAGGTCCTTCCTGCCTTCCCCTCTGTGCTGCTCAGAGCTGGGTCATCCATCGTCGGCAAGTTGATTCCCACTCACAGCGGCTGACTTTGGATTGCAATTTAGGCGGACGGCTCCCCCACCCACCCACCCAGCTCCATGACCCGGAGGGCCGGCAGCTCCCAGCAGGCCCTGCCTTCTCCCCAGCCCACCCTGACGTGCTCAGAGACCCGGGTGTGTTTCTGCTCTGCGGAGACCTGTGGAGGCCATGTCCCCAAAACGCAGAGCGGGGCTGTGCCTCCCGAAGGGGGTGTCCCCTCCTCAGCGGCGGCTGTCCTCCGTGTGGACCTGCCCTGGGAGCCTCTGCACCTGCTGTCTTCCAGGCCGGCCTGGCGTCCCCCGAGAACTCAGATCAGCTCATCATCGCGCTGGAGCCGGAGGCGGCGTCCATCTACTGCCGGAAGCTGCGGCTGCACCAGATGATCGAGCTCAGCGGCAAGGCGGTGGTCAATGGGTACAGCGCCAGTGACACAGTAGGAGCTGGGTTTGCACAGGGTACCTCGCTCTCTCTCTCCCTCCCTCCTTCCACCCCTCACCCTCCACTGGACGGGCCCCTGCCTTGGATTATTTTACATGCACTGCGTGGTGTCCTGGGAGGAGGCGGGCATTCAGGACTTGGCCCCCTTCCTGGCCCTAGCATAAAGTGACCAGATATCCCGCTTTTGGCGGGACAGTCCGATTTTTAACATTTTTTTCCGTGTCCCGTGGCATTTTAAAGCAGTCCCGATTTTTTGAAAGATTGCACCACAAGCTAGGATATATGGTTTTTGGCTGCCATGTGGCTATTTCGCCAGGATATGAGTTTTATCAATGGTGTCCCACTTCACCAATGTTAAAATCTGGTCACCTTACCCTAGCAAGGAAGGACTCCTGCAGACTAAGCTGTGATGAGCTGGGGGTCAACATCTACTGACCCTAGGGGGCTCAGGTCCCTAGGTGGGTAGAGCCTTCTCTCCAAGACTCAGAGGGTGGTCTGGGGCGGTTCTGGGCCTTGCATTATTCTCTGGATCTTGCCTATTAACCAATTTGCAATCTAATCCCAGTTGCCTGTTATTAATTGCTCCATTAAGACTGTTGATTTATGGCTGGCTCACTCACCAGCGTGCGTTTCCTGGGTGCTGAGCTCATCATGGCCCGGGTCTTTGAGTCCAGGGTTTGAAAGACAAGGGGTCTGGCTGCCTTTGTCTGCCCAGCGGGCCAGGCTTGTCTAGGGCCAGGAGCTCCTTCTCTTGCATTAACAACCAGACCCCGGCGACCATTAGGCCAACTCTGACTCAGCAGTGACCCTCTAGGACAGAGTGCAGCCACTCCTTAGGGATCCCGAGACTGTGGATCTTTGCAGGAGGGGCAGCCCCAACTTTCTCCCGAGGAGATAGGGTGGTGGGTTTGAACTGGTGACTTTGTGGTTAGGGCCTGGATGCCTAACCTGCAGCACCACCAGCGCTACCCCACCCACCCCCCTCCCCCGCCCTCTTGACCGAGTGGCACGGTTGTACACCATTCTCCTCTGATGCCATGGGTTGGAGTCAATTTGATGGCAGCTGGTATGATCCTGATCTGTAGTCTCAGTCCCCTGAACTGCTGCCTCAGGGGGTCTTTGGCTCAGTGTGGTCTGTCCAAGACCAAAGCTGGTAGACCAGCTGGGTCATAGTCATGGGCCCCAGTGAGAGGTGGGAGCTGACCATGATGGGTGGCACCCGGGGGGCAGTGCTGTGTGCAGGGCTCTGGTCTCTCTGAAGGCTTTGTTGGCAGAAACCCACCTGGCACTCCTGGCCGCTCCTGGAAGCCCCAGGCCCCAGGGGATGGGCAGACATTATGGGGACAGTCCTCAAGGTGCCTCCCATCACCTTCATGCCAAGTTTCCTGTCATGTACCCTGACCTCCCCCTTAGCATCCACCATCCTTGCCCAAGAGCTCCTGGGGGCCTCCTCTTCCTCCCTTCAGTCAATTCCACTCAAGCCCCACCCCCCTTTTTAACCCAAGATCAAGGAGCCTCTTACCCTCAGGCGCAAGGCTGTGGGGCTGCTAGGTCTGCATTAGTGGCACCAGCCTTGGCACGGGGCCATCTGATTCAGCTGGCATGAACAGAAACAGGCTTCCCTCGTTCGACATCCGGGGGCCCCCTTTGCAGCACTCCACTCCCACAGGCAGGTCGGGCCAGCCTCCCTGCAACGTAAGCCAGTTGCATTCACATTTCCCACACTCAGGATGACATGTTTATTTAAATCTCCCTCTTCCCTTTTTATTTTTTTAAACGGGAAGTAAGGGAATGGCTGGCTTTTCTGTCTTGCTCAAGGAATCTTTACCCAGTTGTTCCTAAGAAACTCACATCTGTCTAACTCATACCAGCCCTAACCCCCTTCCTGTTTCCTCAGTAGCAAGCTCGCGCATTCGGGGCATCCGTCTGAGTGCCTCGAATGCACACCTTCCCCACAGCTCAGGTTTTGAACCTGCCAAGCAGCTCTCCGCCTCCCCAGCACAGCTCTGCTCTGCGTCTGTGCCCAGGCTTATCTCCCTGTGCTCAGGAAGCCTTTCATTGGTTTCTGAAGCCAGAGGGGCAGCGAGACTAGGATTGCTTTATGGTTAGAGCATCTCCCCTCGCAGGAGGGGGTGCTGCAAAGTGGGGTGCCTGTGAGATACCCCCTCCCCAACCTGTTTTGAGGGAAAACTGAACCGGCCGGCACCTGCTCCCCATCCTGAGCCCATGCCACTGGGTTTGCAGTCTCTATTATGTTACTCTGAGAGCATCTAATGAGCTCAACAGAGGATACATTTTCCACAATATGGGGCTTAATTTGCCTGAAAAATGGGACAATTTTTTTTAACGTTCAGAGCATGTTTTATTAGCCTCACTTTGCAATTTTATTTATTTTTTATGAAGGCCATTTAACTAGCCATCTAGATTGCTTTAGGAAACCGGATGCCTGTAGGAGTCCAGCAGAACGAATTCCTGTGTAGCTCTTGCTGGCATGGCACAGAAGCCCCCAGCTCAGGGCTCCCTCCCAAGCCCATGGGGGTCCTTGACTAAGGGCAGCCTCCCCACTGAGAACCAGCCCCCCAGGAAACCACGTGGCTAGGTCTTTGCCAGCCCTACCGTCCAAGGAAGAGGCGTTCTGTGAACACTGCTTGTAGGAGGAGCCCTGGTGGCCCAGTGGTTAAGAGCTATTTTTTGAGCTGCAAATGGCAAAGCCAGCCGTTCGAAACCAGAGCCATGGGAAGACAAAGCTCTACTCCCGTGAAGAGGTACAGCCTCGGAGAACTCACAGGGGACAGTTCTACCCTGTCCTTTAGGGCCGAGATGAGTCAGTGTCGACTTGGTGGCCATGGATTCTGTTGTTCCTTGTGGAAAGAGGCCCAAGGACCAAGGGTGCCATCCCAGGGGACTGCCTATATGGCTGTCACAGAGGGGTGCACGGTAGTGGGGTCTATAACAAGGACTCTGTCACAGAGGACTGTACAACCAGGGGCATATGCTGTGGCAGAGGGGATTCGCAGGTGGGCAGGGCTGTTCATACCCCATGGCCCAGAACTGATGCTGATGGAGAGGGGCCCCTGGTTGAATGCCAGGTCTCATACTCTGTGCTTTGCCTTCCTTACCACCTACTGTGCGGCAGCTGCCATACTGGGTGCCTACCCTGCTTGCGAGGAACTTAGGGCAAATTTTATAGACCTGGGGACTAGGGCTGACTGGCTCCACCCTTGCCTGGCCTCACCCTGCCCCCGCCTGCTCACAGCACCCTCTTGGCTTTCTTCCCTGGCCCTGCCTTTCCTGGCTTAGTCAGCAGTTGTTAAGTCCCCAAGGCTTGCAGGCCTCTTGTCTAAGGTCACAGGACCATGTCTTGGGAATTGCAAGGCCCTCAACCTCTCCTGATCTGGCTCCCTCATCCCAACGGAGGGATGCCCATTGTGCCTGGTCTGTTGGGGGAGCTGGGAGAGATGAACCACCCAGGCCACAGTCAGGGCACGGTTGTCCCCAGCCAAGCCATCATGAAGGCAGGCTCCGCTAGGTTCCTCTGGGGTGGACGCGCCCCCCGGTGGCGGAAGCGCATACCAGCTTCAACAGGGTCGGAAAATGGCTCCCACCGCCTTTGTCCAGGATCCCAAGCTAGGAAAAGACACCTGCATTCCTTGCAAACAGAGTCCCTGGATGTGAAATTGTTCAGCCCGGGGCGCTGAAAGCTGCTGGCCCGACAGCTTCTTCCCTGCGGCAGCAGGAGCAGGCCATGGGCTGCAGCTGTTAACCGTTCCCCAGAGGAAGGGAATCTCGTTAGAGCAGCGAGGAACCGAAGGGAGGGAAGGAGCCGGCGCAGACCGGCTTTCTCTGGGAAGAAGGGCTCTGCGGTTCCCGGCGTCCCTGGGCTCACAGAGCCCTTTGGAGGACCTGTCACTCACTAAGAGTTCCATCCCTAACCCTCTCCTCATGCTGTCGTCTCCACTGACTGCCGCTGACTCTCTGCTCCGGATGCTTTCTCACTCCACATCGTTTTCTCTCTGTCGGCCACTAGCGAAGGAACACGTCCGGCGTAACCGGCAGAGTCGGACCTTTTTGGTGGAGAATGTCATAGGAGAAATCTGGTCCGAGCTGGAGGAAGGTAGTGACCTTGAACCGAAGTGTGTGCGTGCGTGCGTGCGTGCCCGCGTGCCTGCGTGCCTGCGTGTGTGCACATGTGCGTGCTGGCCAACACCCCCCCCCAAAAAAAAAACACCCCTAAATGCACCCCTATTTATTCATGTTGCACTTTGGGAAAACGATGTTCAAGATCAGTTGGTTTTTAAAGACTCATTCCCCCAGCGAGCGCGCCCTGGGCAGCTGTGCTTCGCATGCTGTCAGATCTCTTACAGGAGGGGCTGCAGGGATTGGCCAGCTCTTGTTCTGGAGAGGGTAATTGTATGCTGCTCTCCCGTTGGTGGGCATTTGGCCGAGTGTGCAGCACGGGGACAGGAGTACCTGAGTCTTAAAGATTCACCCCTCTGGGTTCTTTGTCATCCCTGCCTAACTCTCACTCCTGGGCAGGCATTCCTGCATTCTCTTTGATCACCAATAACTCTCTGTGTTTCTAATTAGCCAAACCATTGTACTTAGCCAAACCATTGTACCATTTCTGAGCCCTCACCCATCACCTGTGGGTTTCAGGAAGGGGTTGATCAAGCTATAAATTAAACATGGCTCTTTGCTTTTGCACCAGGTGACAAGTATGTGGTTGTGGACAGCGGAGGTGGCACCGTAGATCTGACAGTCCATCAGATACGGTTACCAGAGGGACACCTCAAGGAACTGTATAAAGCAACAGGTCAGCACCTCCATGGCTAATTCACTTGTCATGTGTTGCTAGGCTGCTCTGATCAGCCTGTGGGCAGCTACTCTCACTGCCCCCAGCTCGTGGGGGGTGGGGTGGTGTATGTGTGACAGGATTGTAAGCTGCAGAAAGTACAAGAACCTATTTGAATCTGGAACACAGAAGACAGTGAAACATACTAAAACACAAAACCCTGCAACCTGTGTGAGCTTATTTTGGATCCCGGATGAGGGAGCTTATCTCTCAAAGTACTGGAAGGATGTGACCATAACCTGACACCACCAATGACTTAGCTGCTGAAGCTAACTTTCCAGGGAGGCCCCAGGACACCTGATTGTGGGCCACCATGGCCTAACCAAGGACCATGCTCTCTGACTTGGTGGGAAGCAGGGCAATGGGTCGTTCACACATCACAGGGACAAGGTGACGGCTGCTGGCGTACCTGTCCCTGGCGTTCTGGGATGGAAGGCAATGAGGCTCACAGCTAATTGACTATACAGACCCCCCTCAGAGATATCTCCAGCTCGGTGCTAGACCACCACAGTACTGCAAACATCCCAGGAAGTGAGTCACACAACGTTTGGTTTCCCAGTGTCTATAGAACTCATACAGGAGGCCTGGTGTTACAGTGGGTTACCCACTGGGATGCTAGAGGAGCCCTTGTAGCATAATGGTTATAAGTTGGGCTGCTTGTTGCGAGGTTAGCAGTTCAGAACCACCAGCCATTCCTCAGAAGGAAGAGGAGGCTTTCTACTTCTGTAAAGAGTTACAGTCTTGTAAGGCATCTCGCTCAGGTAGTGGTATTGATGCAGCCCCACTGGCATATTAACTTACATAGTTTGGCTAATCTGCTCAGGTGTGGATTGTGAATTAATACTTTCAGCTGGGAGGGGTGGATCTATTGACTGGGGTGGGTCAATTGTTTCTAAGGGCTCAATATCCACCTCTGTCTGGTATACCTCAAAGGGACAAGACGTTTATGCCATTTTTCTGCAGTGGCCAGATGATGGCGTCTTAAACCTTGCATCCCCTAAAGCTACCTCAACTACAGAGGTAGTGATGCTGGGCGTCAAAGGCACTCTGAAATGGTCCAACGATCCAGTTCAAGGTCTCTTCATTTCTTTGCTCCAGTTACCACCCTCTGCCCTGCCCTTCACGTATGCTTGGACTCTCAAGCTCACAGGAGTGGAGTAATGGTTTGAGTTCCAGTACCTGCTGATTCCTGCTGAGACTTTAGTTGAAGAATAAGCCAAAGCACATTGTTGCCTGGAGGAGGAGGAGGAGGAGGTGAACTAGGTTTGACAAGCTCAAGCGTGTACTCTTTCTGTAGCATCAGTTTTCACCAACTCTACCCCATCCCTCTCCGCACACTGGGGAGCCTGGAGTGAAGGAAAAAGCTTAAGGATGCTGCTGGCCAGTTCCAGAGCAAAGCAAGAACTTAGAGTCAGCCTGTTGCCAGTGATACTATTAAGAAAATGAATGTGATTCTACCCACAGGTGCCAGGTTGGCAAGGGGTGGATTGAGATAGTTTATTGTGCCAGCCTGGCCGATAAACACAAGTGGGATTGACTGAAGGGCAGAGAGATAAATG